AAGTCAAGGGCTTTAATTTGCCATTCCAAAATGCAAAATTTTCTTTTGGCCCAGCAGACTATCATGAATTCATTTGTGCGCTCAGAATTGTGGTCACGCTGCATCACTTACGTCTGTTTAAGCTTCATCTCACAGAAATACACCCTGACGTTCTCCTGTAGAATTTGCTGGTATTATCCAGAATCCATTGCTCACTCAGTCATTGAGAGCTGCACAGCAGCCCCAAGCCATGATAGTCCCGCTATCATGCTTCGCAGTTGAATGAGGCTCTTTGATTGAAATGCAATGTTTCATTGTCCCCATACACAGCGTTTCTCATTAACGCTCCAAAGTCCTGCTTTGTCAGTCTCAGCTACTGACAAAACATTGTTCCAACAGCCTGTGGGTCATTCAGGGGGTCTTTGGCAAACCTGAGACAGACAGTAATGCGCTTTCTGAAAAGTAATGATTTTCTCCTTAACATCTTCCTATACAGACTGTTCTTCTTCGGTGCTGTCCTGATGGTATCCTCATGAAGACTGAGATCAGGTAACACAAGGGCCAGCAGATCCTTTATCGTTACCTCGGGGTTCTTTGGCCCCCTTGATCTTTGGATGGTCAGTTCTCAGAAGAGTAACAAGGTGCTGCTCCATTCGTACACCATCTGCCTGACCGGAATCCAACATCTCTGGAAATTGCTTTGTAGCCCTTTCCAGCCTCGTGAACATCATCAATCCGTGTCCCAAGGACCACAGAGCTCTCTTTTAACTGTGACGTGATTTATTGCCACTATTTTCTCCTATGAAGAGAACTCCAAGAGGGCAAACAAATTTAGTCTTTTTTTTTGAAGATATGGAGCTGCTCAAACATGCCCTGAAACTCACAATCGTCTTCTGATGGATGACTCTGCATACACTTCCCAACAAAGACAGTGGATATTGGCTCAAAGTGTTCAATAAAGCTACCTGTTTAGTCGGTTTCTCTTGATCTATTAATAGTCTTTAGATTAAGCTCTGATTGTTTTGAAGGTCACAGTTCTGCAGGATTACGGATGGAGCTAAAGCAGGGTGTTAAGCTTTGTGTGGACTATAAGTCCCACAATTCTGGGAGTTGAAGTCCACACACATCAAGATGTTGCCAAGTTTGAAAATGCTGTTCTAAAAAAGGATTGCCAACTTTGGTGTCACCACTATACATACTAATTCAGGGGTAATCAGGTTGGCTCCAAATTCAATTCAAAATATAAAATTGGCTTTAATACTCTAATAGCCTAGAGCTCAACCTTCCTACAAAGGCTGATAAAAAATGTTTTGTTGACCAATGTCAACGGCTGACCCGTCAGGAGCAAGGAACCAGAACGACACTGACAGTGGATCAGAATAATATGGTGGTTTTTTTTACTCACCTGCTTACAAGAATTTTGCCAAACTAAATGCACTTTCTAGAGAACAGTCAGATAACCACTCCAGGGTTTGGAGGGAGGGGGGGGGGGTCAGTTTTCTGTGGCTTCTCCTTCTTCAGAGATTCCAAAGACTGACATGATTTTCATGCAAAAAAATACTGAAGTTTTCTTTACATTTCAGGTGCTACACTTGTTTTAAAAATATATATATATTATTATTTAATGTGTGTGTTTTTCCCCTGTGCTATATCTAAGGATTTTGCATGCATCCCATTGACAAGTGCTGCAGCCACAGATTTCTGTTCTGTTCTGTCCTGTTCACAAACTAGTGTTTGACAGAACAGCAAAGAGGGGGGACCCTACCTCTGTGCACAGCCGATTCGAGACACATGAGCAGGTAAGAGAGACGGGCTTCCCGAGTACGAGGAAGATTCTCAACATTGCAACGGTACTTCTTCAGGTCACTCTTGCAGGATTTGGCCAAGGAGTAGCTGACTTTGTAATCCTGGGCAATCAACTTTTGCCGAGTTGTCAATGCATCCCGACACTGAAGAGGGCGAGGAAGAATTCAGGTAAATTTACCACTCATCTTTGATTTGTGTTGATTTATAACATAATTAAGACATGATTAAAATTCAGCACTGTCTCTTGGAGGGCACTTACCTTTTCACTCATAGCATCTTCAAACTTGTGGTTAAATAGACACTTGTATATCCGGCCTTCGCCTGCTTGAGTCTGTGAAACAAAACAACAATTCATTTAGTAGGCCATTTTGGCCAGGTTATATAATTAAAAATATATTTATATTATAGTCACCTTCAAAGATCTGGTACGTATGGTTTTTCACCATATACTGTTCCAACAAACTCACAAAGACAGACGGAAACACAATGATTGTCAAAGCCAAGTCCAGTGGAGCTTATAGCTTCGCCTACACTCCATTTTACTAATGTATTTTTATTCGCTGTACTTCCCCAGCTGCTTTTTAATCACAATCCTGTACTTTCTAGTTGACAAGTCTGCTGTTAGTTACAAGGTAGCATCCTCAGTTAAATGAAATCACGTTGAACCAAGTTTGTTATTTTGTAGTATTTTAGTTCCTCTTCCTCATCACTGGCCAGCTGCATGCTTTCTCCACCTGGAAGCCTCAGAGCTGTCCTGCTGCAGCTGTGCTTCAGCCAAATCCCTCTCAGACAGCCGCTTGGAGCCACTGACCAACTCCCCTCCTGACATGCCAGGAACTGGTTCATCCTCCCCTGAGCTGGTATCTGAAGAGGTATCTGGGGAAGCGTGGGGGGAGGGGGAGGGTTTGGGAGTCTCACAACCAGCCAGATTTGCTGAAGAGGGACATTTTGGCTAAAGAGGAGGAGAAAGCTGAGCAGAAACTTACCGTTTCACAAAAGTGTTCCCGATCGTCTCGGCAGGCAAAATAGAGATGCCGATCCAGATGGAAGTCATCTGACGACAGCTCCGCCACTCGGAGAATTGCCTTCATGCAGGGCTCTGAGACTTTGATGCGATGCTCACTGTCCTCTGCCAATTTTACCAGCCCTTTCTCCAGGCAGGCCACCACTTCCCCTTGAGAATGGGCATCCTGCAGGGAGGGAAGAAAGTCATTCAACCGCAAAAAATATTTGGTTTAGATTATTTATTTATTTATTATTTATTTATTAATTGCATTTATATCCCGCCCTTCTCCTTACGGACTCAGGGCGGCTGACAAATTAGATAAAATACTAACATATATACATATTATACCTAATTAAAAATTTAATTAAAACGAAATATTTAAATATGTCCAATTAAAAATAATTTAAAACCCCTCTAAAATCCCTTAGGCCAGTCCCGCTAGCTGGAA